ACTGGATGGCCGTTTCGTCCTAGTATGGGACTCCTCAACAGTTGGCATCCATGACCATGCCTAGCAAAATTCCAGACCAGGATCTATCAGTCTCGCGCGCAGATGCTTAATCTCTAGACCGCTGAGCCGGCATCCAACGATGTTATTGTTTAACTTCAACCAATCCACGAAATTGAGCGACACGTCTACCATTATCTTCAGTGAGACACTATCTCACAATAAATCCGGTTGAATTCCACTGTTCACTGCTTCTGACTAAAATTCCGAGAAATATCTCTTGAAACCAGTCACTAGTGCGCACTGGTGAATCTCATGAGCGAGATCGTGGATGCGCACTGTCGAAGCGTCTCACAAAGAATGATCAAATTTAAACTGCTCCATTAGATGTAGTAAGTAAACAAAAACAATAAGGGGATTGAAAATAATGACAATCGTAACAATAATCTATACAAACGATTTTGAGTTACTTATCAGATAATAATAATTTATAATAAAAATTACAATGAATGGACAGTTTCAACATGTTGAATGGTGTTATATTCTAATGAACTAATACGATACATATTTATGCTCCTCTTATCATAAATTATATTTTGACTCATAGACTATTATTAGACGATTCAGCATTCTCAAGTTATGCCCTGTCAATCAATTACTATCTTCTTCATTCACAGCTACATTTGGCTAAATCTTGTACAAATGTTGTATCCTATTTTGTGGTATGATATGGTCTATTTGGTTTGAATATAAACCCAGCATGTTTGGAATAAATGATTCATATCGCAGAGGCTGAGATTAGTGTTTTGGACTTAACAGACAGTTAGGGTTAGGCAGGAAGAAGGATCGACAAATACTCTAGACTGCTCGTACTTGTTTTGTACGTTATCGGTACGGTCTATAATTCACTGTTCTTTAATTGGCGGTATTATTACATTATATATTATTAGAGCACAAGTTTCAGTAAATGGACATTTAAATTATTAATTTATGTTAGATGAAAGCAAAAAAAGAGTGTTAAAGTTAAAAATGAGTTAATATTAGAAATAGAGTTTGTAATAGAAGAGTAAATGGCGAGACTGTAATTTATGGACGAGACAATCAGAAGCGTTTTAGAGATTTCAAGGTTACGGCACCGACTTCAGTGCTCAATACTAACGAACGATCGGTTCACAGGGAATTTTGTACAAAACGTGATAATTGAGTGGCTATAACAAATAAAACGGTCAGTCTATAATTTATGAACGAATCAATCAAGTATAAGATAATAGATCTTGGATTCTAACGCGAAAGCCTTTCATCCATTTGGCTAAATACATTTCTGGCATTATAGCAGATGTCAGTTCGTGATGAAAACCCCATATATAATTCATAACTAAGGCAAAGTACGACAATTATTATGAACTGGATAATAAAAGCACCAGTTACACTTGGTGCAGCCAGGTACTACAATAAGTACAGATGTTTGGGGGGCGTGCAGACTCCTACATAGGCTTGATTATGTGCATAGTGTCGTTATCTAAAAATAGAATTTTTCGCACTCAACAACCGGAGTGCACATAAACAATATTGAAGCTATGTGGTTGAGGCTGAGTTTTTGAGACTTTATCATGGCTCCAGAGGCCGACTATTCTGTAGCCATATGGATGATTTCCTCTATTGCATGCATCAGCATTTTAGAACCTCTTCCTAACCTTGATAAGTTTTTGAACTACGTATAAGAAGTGTATCTACTTTATTTCCTTGGTTTTGTATGATATATTTTTACTCTATACTGACTGTTTGCTGATTGGCTAATATTTTTCAAGGTTACTTAAGATTCGTTCAAAGGTCGTTCATAAATTAGAGTTCCGCCGGTTTTTTTTCAGTTCCATGTCTTTAAGTGTTTGAACAAGAAATTTTAATCTTTTATTTGTATATAGAAAGTATTTTTATTCTATCTATTATATAATCATTATATACTAACTTACGAAAAGAACATAATCTAAGGACCAGCCAATCAGAAGCGTTTGATGGATTCCATGGTCATGGCATCGAATTCAGTACCTGATGCTCACATGCAATCGGTTCATAGAGGATTTGAAGGAAGACGTGATAATTTAGCGGCTACAAAAAATTGAGACTACTAAGAAGTTGCTTTATATGTAATTGTGGTAATCAAATGACTTGTGGAGCTTGTACAGAATAGACCACTGTGATAATGTTGTCTTTCGATGTTATGTATGTTGGAGGAAGAAGTCTTCTACAATAGGAACATTTTTCGCTCGAAAATTGTTGCGAACTGTATAATAAATGCACCAGTAACATTGGCTGCAATATTTGCAGATGTTACTGAAACTTCGGCTGTTAAGTGGTCTGAGTATTGTAGAGATATATATGTAATAAAAATGACACTTGTACAACCCGAATGCACACATATAATACTGAAGCTATATGATCGAGGCTAAAATAGTTTATAACAGATCACGAGAAATTGAGTTTGTTCACAATTAATTCAATCAAGTTATTTTATTAACTTATTAACGAACTGAATCATCCTAACAACAACTTATCTATATCATTGTATCTTTATTACTATTGCGAATGAACATGTATGCTTGAATATTGCTTACGGCCCTCGCATTTATTCACTATGCTAGTCTTACTACTAACCATTTATTTGATTCGATGAATCATTCATTTCACTATGTATATATAGTGTCCATATTATTCATATTCATTGCTCTTGCTCGCTTAATTGTACGCGCTTGATCGTATTCATATTCGCTGTCTCGCTCACTAGCTTTTCGGCACAACTCTTCTATGCTTGTTTAACGCATCTGTAATTTTGGATATCGGTGTGTGTGGTCCCGTAATCAAGGCTTCGTATTCGTCTTCTGATTAATATACCATTGGGGCGTTATACAGGACGGTTATCCAGACGAACGTTATACGACGTTTAAGGATTATATCGAATACTGACCAGCACAAGTTTTTCCGAATTTATCATGGCTCCAGATGCTCACTATTATGGAGCCATATAGATGATTTTCTCTACCATATGTATTACGATTTCAGAACCTCTGAAACACTTTCTAATCTCGACTAGTTTTTAAACCATGTAAACTAAATGCATCCACTTTAATTCTTTGGTCTTGTATGGTATTGATGGTGCAATAGTTCTGCATAATAATAATGAAACATTTTATAATTGCTTTACAAGTGATATTATACTATGATTTAGGTGCAGTTTACATTTTGATTATGTTTAATCCTCTGAACTGGTTAGTTTAATTGTGAAATTTTCATTGTTACACTGAATATTACTACTAATAACATATACAACAATGTTGAAATGCTATTATTCACCTCAGATAGGAAGACTGTTTCTATTATTATTATTAGTAGTAGTAGTAGTAATACTTCACTACAACAGTAATCAAAACTAAACTTAAATAAATATGAATTGGTAGATTGGTTGAAGTTTAAAGTTAACACTGTTGGATGTCAGCTCAGTGGTCTACAGTTGAAACGTTCGCGTGCGAGACTGCAAGGTGCTGGGTTGTAATCTCGTGAGGTGTAGATGTGCACTACTGGGGAGATGAAACGGCCCTTCAGTGCTTTCAGGTATTCGATAGTGCTTTAGCTTTAATTTACTCATGATCTCAACTATTAAAAGTACGATAATATCCACAAAACCCCTTCTGATATTAATCAACATATGCTCATTGGTGATTGGGTTCAATAAGTACTTCCTGAAGTTTTAGTGAGAAACAGTAAACAAAGGAGTTCAGCCGAGTATGTTGTGAGATAGTAACTCACTGAAGACAGTGGTGGATGTGTCGCTCAATTTCGTGGATTGGTTAAAGTTAGACATTAAGCGCTCGTGCGCGAGACGGATATGTACTGGGTTCGAATCTCACGAGGTGGGATCATGGATGCTCACCGTTAATAAGCCCCATAACAAGATGAAACGGCCGTCCAATGCTTCCCGGTTTTCCATGTATGTCTAGCTTCAATCGACTTATGAATCCAACTATTAAATATGAAAATACCAGAAGTAAAAACGAAATCCACAATGGAGAAACATTTATTTCGATGTGTTATATACAGAACATAAAACAGACATAATAATAATAATTATTATTATCATTATTGTCGCACACACACACACAAACATAAAACAATTGGATGTACAAAATGGGAATTAGAAAAAAGAACTTGAAAAAAGAAAGAAAATCTAACAACAACAATAAACATTGACTTACTGTTTGCTTGTAACTATGCCTGTTTTTTGTATGTAAAACAGAAGGAACAAAAAAGGGGGATAGTATACAATAAAATCTATAATTTCAACAATAATTCCTAATTAAAAATGGGTTAGATTTTTTAAAAAATTTTTTTATTTTTTAAAGCAAAGATGGAGGAGGACGGGAGATTTTTTCTTTTTGCATTTTTCCTCTTAAAAAAATATTTTTTATTTATTTATTAATTTAAACGTTATTTTTTGATAGATTCATGATTATTTTTATTTATAATTGAACATTTAAAATGTGAAAAATAAAAGAGGAAGGCAGTGTTATGAAGCAACCAACCAAGCAATCAAGCAGGCAACCAACCAAGCAATCAAGCAGGCAACCAACCAACTAAGCAAACAAACAAATGGATTCATTCTTATTCAATCCTTAAATAAACTTTTAAAATAAACAATGTTTGTGGCGCCTAGTCTTTCTCTTTAGTTTTCTTTGTTCTTTTTTAGAAAACAAAAGTAAAGAAACAGTCATTAATTGGAAAATGCTTGTTTAAGTTCTTCGTTAACAACGACACCGACATCATCATCATCATCATCACCACCACCACCAACAACAACAAAAAAGATATCTTCACACTATGAATAGGAATGTACAATACACTGAATGTGTATTAAACAAAGAAAAGAAGAAAGAAAGAAAAAAAATACTCTCCCTATTCCTTATCTCATTATCATTGATAATTCATAGTGTAGGAGATATTAGATATATATTTCACTCGACAAGATGTGCATCTTTAGCTAAAGAATAAAATGCTGAATTTTTATTTTGTAATAACATTTTTGGACTATCTAGTTCTTTCATTTGACCGTCTTCGAGGACAAGAATGCTGAAATGGAGGTTGAATTTGAAAAAGAAAAGAAAGATAGAACGCTTAGTATAAACAAACATAATCTTAGAAAAATTTAAAAAGGATTTTATTACTTCTGAACAGTTGAATTCATGATTCAATTAAAACTAAACTATCATGGAAAACCTGGAAACACTGGAGGGCCGTTTTGTCTTACTCCTCAACAGTGCGCATCCACGATCCCACCCGTGGGATTCGAACCCAGGATCTATCGGTTTTAGTTGTGTAAGTTTCTTCCCTAAAAGTAGTCAACTAGAACAATTTATATGTTTAAACCTCGTTCAATCAATGTCAAAGAATTTAGTTCGGTTCTTTTCAAAAATCCGAAACGTTTTTTACAATTGATGCCCCTAAGTACTACAACAGGTCAGTCGTGGTCCACACTGTAAAGCTGAGTGAAACAGGATCAAATCTTGCAAATTACGAGTAGATAATTATTTAAATAAAACTTATATTCTAACGGTGGGATTCGATCAACGTTAATGACTGGATAATATTAAAATAATAATGATGAATATTACACAATGATCGATTTGTGTTGACTGATTGTTTCTTTTTGGGCAGCCACAAAAAGTGTGGCCCAAAAGCAAGCATATAAAAACTGTATTTGGTGGGTGAGTTGCAATAATAGTTTAGCCTTAAAACTAAAGAGGGTTAGACACTTGCTTTATCTTAGCATGGAACCCTTCAGCCGTATGAACTCAAGATGACGAGTATCAATATGACACCAATTACTCAAAATCTAATGATACATTCTTTAACACTAGTCGATTCGTAACATAATCAGATATAAACAAGAATATACAATATTATCAATACATACCGATCATAATCTAAAACTGTATTTAATCGATGAGCAATAGTAATTACAGTACAAGAAGAAAATTCTCGACGAATAGTTTCTTGGATTAAATGATCCGTTTGCATATCTATAGCAGCTGTAGCTTCATCTAATACAAGAATTGAAGTATGCCGAAGTAAAGCTCTTGCAAGACATACTAATTGTCGTTGACCAAGACTGAAAAATGAATTTTTGTAAAATTCGCATATTTCTAAACAAAATTATTGCTGATACATTGTAAAACAAACAGATTATTAGAATTACAGAATTGGAGGGAAGGGGGTCTAATCAGAACCAGCTATTCAACCAGTCTAGTGAGTTTTTTGGTCATTAATTTTCATAAACCCAGTGATCACAATTAGGCAGTTTACAATGGTATGTTATAAACCTTGCATACACATAAGTACAACTATTAACATCTTATATGGACGGGTTTCAAGTGCCTTCAAAAGAACATTCATTGAAGAAGCTTTGACATTATTGTCCTTTGATAAACTTGTGTTCCTCTGTCAATCATAGAACAAAGTTTCGATGTAAAAAGTTTGAAAATCATTCTCAAGAAGTTTTTCCAACCTAAAACAACTCTGTATACAAACGTCAGGAAGGCCTACAATCGCTTTGATAATTTGGTTATCAACACAATATGCAGCAAAAAACTCAAAGTTATGCAAGTATCATACCACAGAAAGGAATGATCTGAATATAATCCCATTTTAAGATAAAGGAGATTATAATTTATCAATCAATGTAACAAAATGGTAGTATGTTTTCATTACAATTCAGTCATCTATATAACTTATTTGCTTAATTTATCAGGATTGGAACAAAGATCTCACGAAGTAATTCTAGATATCATAAGCCAACCTTAGATAAACAACCACTGAAAAGCAGGAGGTATTGGACACTCGTTTAATCTCAGTATGGGACTCTTTAGCAGTATCTGTTGAGAATCGAACCACGAGTCCTCAAGTTCACTACACAGTCTCCAGTCGTTAGACTATTAAGTCGGCAGTCAATGTTTTATGCCTCAGTTCAACCGATTAGCGATACTGCGCAACTATCTCTCAATACCATTAGTGACTGTTTCTCACTAGGACTCCAGAAATTGCCTCTCAAAATTAGTCACTAATGAGAACATGATTGTGAAGATAGTTAAAATTTTAGTTTAATATCATGAACTAACTTCGGTTGCACAAACAGTGGAAACTAGGAAGCACTAAGTACCTATATAATATGAGACTTCTTAACAGTTCCCATATAGAACTCCATTGAGGACTAAGCTCATGTATAAAAGTACCAGTTGTTGCTAAACTAAAGTCTCTTCATGATGTAAACTATAAAATTGAACAACTTCTACAAATCCCTTGCACCGTTTTCAACAGTCACTCAAGTTCGTCTTATAACATGAATTTAATAGGTTGAAAAAAAAGTTTAGTAACAAAAAAAACAACCGAACGCACTAACTAACCTTATATTAGAACCACCTTCTGAAATGTTCATATCCAAACCATAATTAGCATCATTATTATTATTAGCATCTTTTATAAATGATTTTAAATTAGCTAATTCAAGTGCATGCCAAATAGCTTCATCTGTATAATGATTGAATGGATCCAAATTAAAACGTAATGTACCAGAGAAAAGGATAGGATCCTAGTGAACAATTAACACAAAAACAATGAAAGTCATATAAAGTAAACAAAACCGTTACGATCACCATTAAAAGTATTAGCATTAAATAATAGACAGTAGTTTAGGGTAGTTAACGTAAGCAGTTTTGGATCTACCTAATGCTGTTGGAGATATAAAAGCAGCCGATATTCCCCAGTTACTCACACTGTGAAAGAATGCTTCTTCTTGATACACTTGAAAAAAAAACTGGAATCGGGTTGGTTTAGACGACACGGCAGTGTGATCACGGCACCCAACTAGTAACTGCTTGACGCCGACCACGCTTTTTAATCGCAGGCAGTATTATTCTCAGACAATTTCAGGTCAGTGGTTTACAGATGAGTTGGTTTTCACCCAACCTCGAGAAAGGTTGAATACATTATGTTGATAAGTCGAGAACGATGACAAAATATGTGTTTAGTGTTTTTTTATTTTACAATTGTTATCCAGAAAACTTCAGTCAATGATTTATACCCTATCTATAAGCGTACATTTAACCTGTCACATGAATACTCTCTCTTTCATAGACTTATAATCATTACATCCAAACAATTTAAATGATCATGAAAAGATGAACTAATATCGTGAATTGTATTTATTTATTGGTACAAAGAGGCCACACAGGTCAATTGATCTGTGTATGTGGGCTATTGTACTGCTCGGGTGCCCAAACTGAAGTACATGATTTTCTTATGGGGGTCACACCCGGAGACTTTGACCTAAATGTCTTATCCACAAGGCAGTGGAGCAACGTAAGGAGATGCAGTCCAATGGTAGTCGGTCACCAACCATAGGTTCATGCGCCATCTGTTTCTTTAGGGTCCTGTAGCCCATGTACACAGTTAGTTTGGAATCAGTGTTCCAACTCCCTCTGTGTCCGACAACCAGGTTAGAGCGCCAGACATTCGCTTTTCGTTCTGTCAATTTAGTAAACAACAACCCCGCTACGAGAATGCAGTGAGTAGAACTTCCCTGGTAGTGACTATTAACATGTAGCCATGTGAGAGTTTTTCGAGAGGGAGTGCTAACTCTCCCCACTCTCAGCGATACCAGGGCATTTAGGGGTATTAACACCATTGTGTGCCAGCTTAGTGGTCTAGAGGTTAAGTGCTCATGCGCGAGACCGGATACCCTAGGTTCGAATCCCGTATGCAGGATCGTAGATGCGCATCGTTGAGGAGTTCTACACTAAGACAAAATGATCGTTCACTGTTTCCAAGATTTTCCATAGTGATCTAGTATTAATGGATCCGCTTTTTCGTTATACAATAAATACGACAAAATTCAAAACATAATAATCGATAACAAATCTCAACACCATGAAACAAGAGAAAGAACGCTTTTTCAAAGTTTCATTAATTATTGACAAAAAAATAATAAAATATCTAAAATATTTTAATGATGAGATAAATAAAATTTTCAAAAAAAGTTTTCAAAACAACAATTAAGTTGTTTTGACATTTTTTGGGGGGTAGGGGTGAGGGGTAAATAGAAACAAATTTTTTGTTTGTTTGTTTGTTTCTATTTGTTGTTTTCTCTCTCTGTGTTAACTGGGAAACTAAACATAAAAACTAATCAGAAACAAAAAATAAGAGACTATTGTAAATAATAACAATATTTAACAAGCATATGTTTGACAACTATTAAAATAGAGGAAAATATTGAGTAAATTGATGAATATATGAAACTCAAAACAACTGTGTCTGTCAACCAATAACAAAGTTAGAATCTTGAAAACCAATATGAAGATAGTTCTACTGTACAGAGCTGAAACTTCGAGAACTACTACAACTATCATCAAGAAGATACAAGTATTTATAAATAGTTGTCTACGAAAGATACTCAACATTCTTACTAATATTTCTCTGTAAAAACGTCCTTTGTGTTGCACAATCTTCGAAGCAACCATAGCACTTTGATACGTCGAAGGGGTAATCCATATTAGATGTTGACCGCAAGATGTGACTCCGAAGTTAGCTGTTGATCACACTATTTTCTTCTAACTCGAGTAGGCCTCTAATCATTCAACATAGATCATCTACGTTGATGATCTATAAATATTTACTAGTTATTAGATTTCAGGGAAATAAAAAACCGAAATTCGACTATTTCATTGACCATTTATGGCCTATTAACTAACACTAACATTATTTCATTTTACAATATAATTGAAGTAAACAATGATTGGTAATGACAAACTCATTTATCAAAAAGAAAATATCAATATTAGAAGATTTACTATTGTCACTTATTATTCTCTGAAGAAGTGACTTACACCGAGTTACGAAACGTCAGAAAATCTGATTTTTCTATTCATTGAGATATCAACAAATGTATTATCTCTATTTTATAACAATCTACCCAATGCTCAAGGAGTAAACAATAGTCAGTTAACTATCTTGTCGTTTTGTTTTTGTTTAGCACGAACGCAGCTCAGTAACATAACACACAGAAACAAGAGAAAGTTTTAAATAGTTTGACAGTGTTAGCAGGGCATAGACTGAATTAAAGCACATTCCATGCATAACTGTGTTGGTGCACTCTGGTTGGCTATTTCTTATCCAATCAGCACTAATAGACTCTAGAGTCTTCTCATGTAAAAACAATTGTGCTTCTTACTTGCATCTACCCTTGTTATTTGGAATATAATTTCATTTGTGTTCAACTATGTTCTGATTTGAAGATTTGTTGAGTGAATTGATGTCCAAGAATAATAAGCAATAGGAATAGCTAGGTTGTATTAAGAGAAATTATAACAGACAGTGGTAGACAGAAACAGAGAGGGAAAACGCATACGTTTGTAGTTTAATATCTTATGTATTACATTTTTTAACATAGGTACTTAGACATGATCAAAAACATCTTACTTATCTAAGTGGTAGGTAATGATACATAATACTTACTTGAGGTATTAATGTTAAACGATTTCTCAAATCATGTAAGCCAATTTTTGATATATCAAAACCATCAATGAGTATTTTACCTTCAGCTGCTTCAAGCATACGGAATAATCCAAGTACTAGAGAAGATTTACCCGAACCAGTACGACCAACAATACCCAACTAAATAATAACAAAAATCAAAGTATCAGAAAGGGTTTTTGCGGATATTATAGTAATTTTAATAGTTGAGATCATGAGTCGATTGAAGTGATATCACCATGGAAAACTACTATGGGACTCCTCAGTGGCAGTGCGTATCCACGATCGCGACTCGTGACATTCGAACCCAAGACCTAACAGTCTCGCGCGCGAGCTCTTAAGCACTAGACCACTGAGCCAGCCGGCATCCAACGGTGTTAATGTCTTACTTCAACCAATCCAAGAAAATAATGTTACAAAAATATAACAACCTGATCATTGATGTTATTCAACTATTTAAATCGGAGATGGTGAACTGGGATTCGAACCCTAAACTGTTGATTGATTTGAGGTAGGCGCCCATAAGAGCACTACATTTATATCATCCAACTCAAAAGAATGTGATATATATATATATATATATATATATATATATATATATATATATCATTGAAAAATACATATATACAATCATAGAAAAATGTATAATGAATAATAAAACTTACTTTTTCTCCTTTATCTACTTTAAAATTAATTGATTTTAAAGCTAAATTTAATTCAGGTCGATATTTCGTACCATAATTAATAAATTCAATGATACCTTCAGGCCAATTATTTGGTAAATAACTACAATCTAATTCCCATGGTGCCTAATTTTAAACAAAAGAGATACATATATACATACACAAAACTCATTAAATCATTTCACAAGTAATCAATAAAAAAATATTGGACAAATAATTCATTTCTTTTTTTGATTGAGATCATGAACCGATTGACGTTGGACCACCATTGAAAACCTGGAATCACTGGACGGCCATTTTGTCCTATTGTGGGACTCCACAGCAGTGCGCCTCCACGATCTCGCTCGCGAGATTTGAACCCAAGGCCTTCAGTTTCGCACACGAACGCTTAACCTATTGGAACACTTTTTAATTAAAATCGTATCAAAGTAGGAAAACATAATTTAAAACTTTCCTTTAAACTACCTTTTAAAAACACTATCATGGTTACTATTTGGAATGATAGTTTGCATGACAGTTTTTGGACATTTTTTCATCCAATTAAATGATTAGTTTTAAATTCATTATAATTAGTTATAAAGTATAAGCTCTGTGATTTCTCATGTTGTCATGGATACAGAAAGAACATGTTCTTGAATACATTGTACATGGTAACGTTCCAATTACTTGAAGCGTTAAAGACTGTCATAAGAACTTATGAGAAAGTAGAGTACTGCTATAAGGTGCGAGATTTTCATTTCCATAGAGATCAGAAGTCGTATATTAAATTTGTATGTTGGAGAAATGGCTGTAGAATATCTAGCGGATCCTCACAGTTCATTAGACGAAGGTAATTTTATTAGTGTTATCATCTTGTTCATGAAGGACTTCAATAAACACTCAATGTCCGGCTTTCATCGTTTGTAAGTTCATTGAAGGTTAGTGGACTGTCTCCTGAAATCCTTTAAATTGTTCATGTAGTTTTTATATTGAAAATGAATTGCCATGTCATGTTTTGGCACTAATACGCAAGGGAACACAGAAGTAATTAGTGACAGATGGTTACAGTCGGACAGTTACTTCGCCAGCGTTGCTATTGACAACTACTTCCCTGTATAAGTAGGAAAAACAAGCATAGAAAATGCATTGTATTACTTAGTAAGTCGTATGTCTGATGAACAATGTAGTGTTGTCTATAATTCCTTGCATCAAGTGGTTTACGGAAGGATGTCTCCAAAACCGTTGACCTTATTTGCAGCAACTGAGTTTCAGATGGGAGCCTTCACTTCCATGGATGTTACAATGACATTGATCCAACAGACGACAAGTACCAACTACCGAACAAACGTCGATTCGGATGCCACGTTAAGCAATGACGAAGATGAAATTGTTTCTATAAACTCAGGAGAATTCAGTGACCGAGACAACGACACTGACGAAGACGCCCATGACAACAGATTGTGTGACATCTGCAATCTTACTCAGCCCCCAAGTAAAACTGCTGATGGAAGCGCTTGGACTTTTTGTCACTGAAATGCAATATCTCATTTGTTTTGTGCTTACTTGTGACTCACTCTCACAATTCCATAGATTCCACTGTCTCATGCATGGCATGATTACAAAATCATAGTTACGCCATTGTTCAGGAAAATCTGAAATGTTCAGAGACCAAGTAAAAGCCCTTTTTAGGGCCACCCACAATTTGATTTAAATTCTTACTCAATGAAGTCGTTTAACTGTTTCATTTGATAACTCAAGTGTTTATATCGTCCAACGAAAACTAATCTGTCTAACAATAGTACATGCGAAATTTAATAAGAATGTTTTACATTCACTTTGTCTTGTTTTGTTTGAATCATCCCATTGATCTCTATAGGACTGCAATTCATCAGTCTCTTATTATTGGCATATGTGCATACTGTACGTATTGTATCGACATACCCTTAATTCACAAGTATTATATGCAAAGATGGATAGTGGCTAGCAGTGGAATCCAGTTTGACGCGCGTTTCATCCTATTTGGGACTCGTCAGCTTGATAGACTTGCACTTCAGAGTAAGTGTTCACTCTGAGACTCGGACTCAGTACCGTTCGCTTCAAATGCCATTGCATTATCCACTTAACTACTAAGTTCTGATAGCTACTTGCTTATATAATGGAGTGAAGTTTAAATTCACTTGATGTTGTTTTACTTACAGTACAATTAATAAATTATTACAGGTGACAAAATGTTTGTTTATGATGAAGTTTTGTTCTCTAAGCTGGATGGATGGTTTGATCGTGGAGTTTTCATCGTTCTTCTGAACGAAATCATCAACACAAACTTCAGGTCGAAGTGAAGTGTTCGACTTTCTCCATATGTGGTTCACAGCTTATCTTGTAGACCTCGATGTTGATTGGTTCTTGTCGACCTTAAATGTGTCGATGTCAAATCTTCTCCACCATCACAAAATGTTTATTCATGATCACTTAAGCATACACTTTCAAAAACAAGTTAATTTATCACTAGTTTCTAAGTTGTTTTTTTAATTTCTCATCAATGGGTAGTGTGGGAAACACAACCGCTGTGCAATTATTGTCAAGCCTTACTATTGGGTATCTTTCAGTTGTATTCTTGAATATCATGCAAAAAGCTATGTAATCACCCATGACCAGAATGACATAATAACTCACTCATGAAAACTGGATGTTTGTAAGGCTACAACATGACTAAACTGAGGTTAATATCCGACCAAATCGATAGCATCTATTAATTGTTCAGAGTGATGGATTCATTTATTAGCAAATGTACTTTGATAAATAGGTGCCTAAATAACTGAATACAATAATCATTAACTCTTTCAGTTTCCTGATTCGATATAATAAAGATTGATTGATCACTTGGTGGTGATCAATGTCATGCGTATCAAGTCCTTCTTAGTGCAGATAGAATCCGATCGACCAAGTGACTCGACACTGCGTACACTATGTTGAGATAAGATGGTGGTTGGAGGTCGTCAACAGGAAACCGTGGACCCGGTTTTCGTGCTGCTTGGCACTTGTCACCAAGATGTACCTGTTATCTTGAGGGAACTGATACTGTCTGACGGATTTGATAGCGTGTCACCCAGCTTCTCAGTTAGAGACGTTACCAGTGAGCTATCCGGGTCGCG